AACACTCAACATCGTCAGGCGCACACACACCAACAAACAACGTCGTCAGGCGCACACATACATGCTACTTTGGCCCGTTTCTGGCCACACACTACCGTTCATAAGTTTGTGGTCTTTAATGGTTTACACAACTAAGTGTGATTTCTAAAACTAAGCTTTGTATGTATTTACATTTTATTTCTATAAAAAAAAAAAATGTAAATGTTTACCTATTTAGGTCATATGTTTGTTAATTGAAAATAAAAACAAATTTTCTGCAATTATGGTTTCCTGGTTTGATTTCTCTCTGAATTGCATGGTTGCTATTGGGTGCAGATATTGAATATGGGCCAAATTAGTTATTTTAATATAATCTGGCAGAGTTGTGGCCTGTGCTCGGGAGACATCTGGCTTTTCAATGGCGATATTATGGCATGAATATGGCCCAATTTAGGGTCTTCTGGCTCTCGTCTGGTAAGGCATTGGCATTTTTCTGGCAGCTTTCTGGCGTGCTTTTGGCAAAACTGTCTGGGCCAGTTTTGGCCCTGCATTCCTGGCGGTATGATTGCCAAAAATAAAAACAGTGTTTGGGCCATAAAAGGCCTGGAACAATTTTGCTATCTGGGTAGCCTCACATACATGATGAATATTTCTATATAAAGCTTGAAATGTCCACTTTTAAAGAAAAAATTTGAATCGAAAGCAAATACCGGCTGATATGATACGAAAGGTGCATTTCTCTCTAAAGTCGCATCCACTTTACAGCGGAGATATAGATATGTTTGCAGCCGACACTGATTACATTTTTTATTTTTTATTATTAAACAATAAAAATGCCTAGTTTTTTTCCAGACATATATTATCATTAGCCTGCTTTTGCCGGTGCTTTGCAGCAATATATGCATGCGCTTGCTTGAGCGCGGAATAGGCTATATGCCTCCACCTCCACTCAGTATTTAAGCAGAAATTAATATTAACGTGAGATTAGTCGACTAATTGCTTAAAGGAATGACTACTAGTCGTCGACTAGAAAATCTTTAGTCAATGGCAATTCTAATCAATGCATTTAGGCTAGTTGACATTTATTTAATTAGTAGCCTAATTCTAGTATCCTGTGCCCGGTTGCATAAAGCACCTTAAGTTTTTCCCTTAAGTATGATACTTAAGGGGCGATTTACCCTTACCTAAGAGAACAACTTAAGGGTGTTGCATATAATCTCTTAAACGGTTCTCTTAGGTAAGGGAAACATTTAAGTGTTTCACGACAGCGATCCTGGATTCACGTTATAAAAGTCTGTTGTTGCCATAGATACGCAAAACACTAACATGTCGGAATATCACGTGTCAGTCCAGTGACGCTATCATGCAACACCGCGTTAGCTCCGAACGTGGCGGCAGTTTGTGTTTTTCACCGTCTCATGCTTTGGCATTTGTTTAGGTTTTGTGAATGCACTTCTGGCTCTGTGTCTCGAAATACAGCTGAGTATATTTCCATAGCATACCTGTTTTCTTCTGTCATGATTCCTTTTAAAACACAGAATCAGCTCGTTCTCCTGTGAATTTTTTGTCGGCCACACACTCTCCGTGTGCGCACTGACTTAACGTTGTGATAGTTTACATGCGAGTCGCGTGTAATGACAGACAGACAGCCGTCTAGTTTGATAGCGATGTCAAATATTGCGCGTCGATCAAATCGGTATTCTTGCAACAATTTTTCATGGCTAAATTGGACCAAAGGGTTACCGTTCTCCCTATTCCCTATGATCTTCAGCTGGTTTCATAAATTCAGCCATGTCGTCTTATTTTTGTCCGCGTTACTCTTAAGGTTACGATTTCCAAACCTTAAGTTATACTTAGGGAAATTACCGTTAAGGGGTTTTATGCAACACTTAAAGATTACTTAAGTGAAAAAACAGCATTTAAGGGAAATTCTAAGTGTTTATGACGTTTCACTTAAAAAAAACTTTAAGTAACACTTAAGGGTATTTTTCTGCAACACCCTTAGGTTTAAGGGAAACATAAGGGCGACTTTAAAGGAAAATTACACTTAAGGTGCTTTATGCAACCGGGCACAGGTCTTTACGTTAAATTAGTTGAGTTAACAATTAGTTAATGAACTAAAATAATAAAACAAAGATTAAATTAAGATGCTATATAGCATTGCTTGTTCCACCACAAAAGACACTTTTTAAGGTGACAATCCGTTACACATTTGAAGATTTACTGTATCTTGAAGATTGTTGTATTGTATTATATCTTCTGTTATAAAGATGAAGATTGACATTTCGTTAAAAAAATAAGCCCATAGGCAACTATTGTAAAACATAAACAACTTAGCCTATGTTCTGTCTTGGTTGTGGTTTTAAACTCATTTTTGTTTTGGTTTTTGAGTAACCGTCTTCTGCGTGACTTTTATATTACGCAATGCTTTTCACTCGCCTCTAGATGTCCTTCTCAACAGCGCAGCAATACATTACAATTATTTATTTGATTTATTTACTAGTTAATACTTTGCAACTGCAAAAAAACACACATTATTCCTCAATATTTAACACAATTTTACTGAAAATAAAAATAAAATAAAAATAATTATTTGAAAAGAATAGACACAGTACATTTTACAGGGCCCCCTGCTGGCCCAGTGCCCTGGGAAAGTGCCCAGTAGGCATGTGCGTTAATCCGTGCCTGGTTTGGCCGTGAGCATTTTAAACTGCAGCCTGTGAAGGGAGAGGTTCAGGATGCGCAGGTCCAGGATTGGCCGTAACCCACCGTATTTCTTCGGGACAATGAAGTAGGGGCCGGGCGGGAGGGGGCGGATGTCGCAGGAGGGCGCGTTCGGCGGCAAGCGGACTGACTGTGCGTTCACACCGGACGCGAATAGCGCGTCAAATTCGCGTCTACCGCGTCTAGTTTGACGCTTGACCACTTTGTGTTAATTCGCGTGTCAATGGCGAAATTGACGCGCGTAAAAACAAAAGTTTGAAGCGAAATTTACGCGCGTCAGAGGCGAAATCCGGAGGCGAAAGTTTCGAAACCCGTTGGCGGCCATCTTTTTAGATGTTTATCGAGCATTAGCATTAGCATTATTCGAGAGAGTCACCGCTCGTATATGCTCTGGAGAGCAGAAGCAGCTCCGTAGGGGACATCGTCGCTGTACTCGGGTCCACCAGAACCTCCGGAGGGTTTCAGGAGTTTCACAATTTGCTCCAGGAGCTAGGTTTGGTGGACCTAATGGTGAGGACGCTGATGAGGACAGCGTAGGCCGTATAAGCCCTCGGCCTCGAGTGGTCTATGCCTGTCGAGCCCGCGCTCTACAGCCCGGCGCGAGGTTCACCCTCGCCCGCATCCACCTAATCTGTCATTTATTTTTGTTTTGATAATAAATGAAGCCAGCCTCCAAAAGTGATTAATCTGTCCTGTGATTTTTCTCTCTCTCTCACACATCACTGTCCAGACACGAACTTATATGTTGGTTGTCTTTACATTATAATAATATTTCATATAATCTAGATATGGAATAAATAGCATTCAATGCAAAATGAATATGTCTCATATATTGAAATCAAGTTTTATGTGATAAAATATTTGCTTTGTTGTGCATTAGAACCACAGTCATATATTACAAAATAATTTATTGAAGCATCCAGATACTTCACCACGTGACAGCAGCAAGCAGCTAGGCTCCTGATTGGTTAACGCGGCGCGAATTGACGCAGAAGTTCAGATTTTTCAACTCGGGCGGCAGACGCGAATTCGCGTCAAACGCGTGAATGCACAAATAGCACTAACTAAATCATTCGCGCGTAACGCGCTTAACGCGCCAGACGCTCAATTCGCGCGAACTTGACGCGCGAATGAGGCGTATTCGCGTCTACCGCGCCGCGCTCTACGCCTCATTCGCGCCGCAGGAATTTTTTACGCGCGTAACGCGTCTTTGCATTGACTTAACATTGAAATCACTCGCGCCTGACGCGCTATTCGCGTCCGGTGTGAACGCACCATGAGGCGTCTGAGCCGGCGGCTGGGTGGCAGCTGTGTACCCTTGGCCGCGGCCTCTGTGAGGGCAAAGAAGGCGGAAGAGGCTGCTGAGCAGTCGCGAAAAGTCAAAGGAGACTCCCACGATCTCATGACCGGGGATATGCACGTCCGGGTAGAAAGGATTTTGGTTCGCCTCCCCCAAAAACCAATCATCAGCCTTAAGTGCTCGGGACATGGCGGATGGTTCCACACAAGCCCGATACTCGCGGCGGCCCGGGAAAGCATAGCTGTCAACTCTGGATCAGACTCGTTATACTAGCGCACCCGAGGATGGCAGCACAGACAAGCCATCATCTCCAGAGGACTCCAGCTCACCTTGTGATGCAGCGATATACATGATTTCATCAGCCGGGAGACCGAATGAGATCGCATTCAGAACCACGCGGGTTGCAATGTGAAAGACGGGGTGTGAACCGAGGATATTTCGTCAGTTTAGTTCCAGACCTGCCGTCTTAGGTCACCCTGGCCACCAGCCAAAGTATTATCTCGCGTGGAGAAAATAGATTGGGGTGGGGATGAGGGGACTCTCGCTCTATTGAGCTCATCGAGTCTCGACCGTTACACTGCGATGGTCATGTTCCCGCTGGGAGAACGTGACGCATCCACGAACGCTGTCTGAACGTGATCGAAGTCGGAGTTACGCCATGCAAATTCCGCAGACCCATGGCATGTCCTTGCCATTGGCTTGTTTTATTTCTTTCGAAGATGAGAGGCTTCTAAGTGAACCCCATTCGTCGTCATCCGACGTAACTCAGAGTGACAATGAAAGGGAACTAGGCTACTTAAATATTTTTGCACATGCATATTTTACAATAAACAAAATATATTGTTTTTATATACAATCAACATATTTAAATCAATTGTTTTATATTTCTCAATCCTTAATTTGCTTATATCATTCGCAATGCTTTTTTGGGATTGTATATCGATAAGATATTGATATGTTTCTTTTAGAAAAGGAATAACAATCATTAAAACAAATATAGATTAAATGCTTTATTGTGCAGTTATGTTACCACATACAAGATGAATGTTTCTGAATTAAATTAAACACATATATAAAGTGTGACCAAACTAACAATTAACAGTCCCTATGCAGTATCCCCTAAAAGGTGGATAATTCTGTATACTAAATTATTATTTCAAAAGCTTTAATTCAAGCTTAGAATTTATTTTTGATGTAATTATGTGGTGCTCAAGGCTTTCACCTACAGGCTGTATGAAATATTGTAGGTGAGTATACAGACTAGTGAATATTAGTGTCAAGATTGTTAATACTGATATTGTACAATGATACTGTTTCTGGGATATTATATGGAATGCTAATACATTATTAATAAATATGTACACATTTTTAAAAATGTTTGGTTACAGTTTAGTTCATTATAGCTTGACAATTTCATTGCCTATACTATTGTCATTATCTAAAATGATGTGGCATTGTGCATTTATGCACAACGCGAGCCATTAAACTCATTTAACGTGTTCAAAGAGGCCTTGACATGAGTGTCCGACATGCTTTATTCTCATGATAACAATTGAGAGTCTCACGGGGTTGAAAGAAAGAGAGGCACTCAAAGTGCTTGACAAAAATACATGTATAGCTCACAATGTGTTTGCTTCACTTCTGAGCTTTGATGTTTCATATTTCCTCCACATAACACATTATTCCACGTAATTTCATGACGAGGCACCGAAAGTTACCGTAGTTTATATCTTGGAAATTAAAATCTGGAAATATGATTAAGTGCAAGATACAACAATGAGTGATTATACTGTCATTTTTTTTTTTTTTTTAAATACTGATACTTAAATAAAACAACAGACCATTTTTACATTCTTAATTCACATTCCTGGTCTTTTTTCCACAGACCATTTTTACATTCTTAATTCACATTCCTGGTCTTTTTTCCACACACACACAAAAAAAGTCAGCATCCAATTTCAGCACAAACTTGCTGTGTATCTGCCACTCCAATTTCTAAGCCGTCTTATTTCTCTCTATTCTGATATGCAACACACTTTTCTATTATAGTATATTTTCATGGACCAATCAATTTCCAATAAATATACAATCAAGTCCCGCCCTTTTTTTTTTCACTGAAAATCATGTTTCACTCGGCCCTCATGTTGACTAGAATGTATTTTAAGGCACAACTACTAATTAAATACATGTCAAGAAACAAATCCCTTTAGATCCATTTCAATCCTAGTTCTGGTTTAGCCAACAGGTAGGCGGTCACCAGTGCAGCTGCTGTCATTATCACACCGAGGAGGCAGTAAGACTTGGACGACTTGCACTTTGACTCCTTTCTTGAGTTACTGTGGTTCAGGGAAGCTTGCACTGAGTCCAGTTCCTCCCGGGACAGAGAAGAAGGACACATCTGAGCTAGGACCTCCATAGCCGCCCGCTGACCGGACTGAATTGCCCCGCTAATGTATCCACACCATTGGGTGGCCGTCTCTGTGCCTGCCCAATGAATCCTGACAAAGGAGAAAGAAAATTGATAGACAAAGTTTTAATACTTTCTGTATTCTTTAAAGTCGGCATGACATGGTAGTTATGATAGTCTTTTCTTCCTTATTGTGATGTACTGTATATCAGAGTTGAGGTATGTTTTACCTGGTATTAAGATGTGTTTTGTATACATATGAAACTTTCTATTTATCAAAGAATCAGAAAAACTATCATGATTTTCACAAAAATATTAAGCAGCAAAAATGTTATTAACAGTAATAATAATTAGGGATGCACCGAAATGAAAATTCTTGGCCGAAACCGGAAACCGAAAACCGAAAAAGAGGAAACCAAGGCCGAAAACCGAAACACCGAAAGAAATTATGCCAATTTTTAGTACCATTGCATTTATGGCTATGACTGTGTACAAACTTTACTAAAATCAAGGCATTGCAATTGCATAAATTAATATAAAATTTTCAAAGAATAAATCAATTACAAATTATGCAAATATTTATTTAGCACAATGAACAGTATAAAATAAAATTCAAACTAAAATGTTTAACTTGACCCCACTCATGTGTACATTAAATAATAATCTACTGGCCTGCAGAAAGGTTTTAAAATGAAATGTTCTCTCATAAAAACAAAGCCGAGCACGAACTTCTCATCACACTAGCACCCAGTTTGCACGTCTAAATTAGTTGCTTACATTTTTAAAAAAATGAACACACAATAGCATAAAAAGCCTTTTTAATGAACAAAGGTCCATGTTTAATACAAATGTACACGAAACTTAATAAAATATGTTTAGTGAAATTAGAAAATATTTAAGAGAGCATTAATTTAGTTGTATACATACATGTTCCCATATAGGCTACATTGTTTTTTTGTAATGTCACAAGTAATAATCTCAGGGTTTACTGGGTTCTCTTACGAGAGGTTCTCTCGTATTGCGTAAGTTTCATCTTCTCGAGATATTGAAGCCAAAAAATTATCCTTAATTTTGTATTCATTGTCAACGCAGTGCAGCAGCTAGCAGACCTAGAGCAGGCCATCAGACCACGCTAGCAGACCACGCGAGTGCTCATTGGCTGCCCTGCGGGCAACTGCTGCAGCCTACCAGTGAGCCCGGCGTGACGTCACGCCTAATGAAGGGCGCCCGCGCTTTCATAGCGTCACAGCCCGCCAGAATGGGCGTGGCTTAGCGTATAAAAGTAGAGGCTGTAGGCTGACTTCCCTGATTTTTCGTCTCTTCAGCGAGCTCTTCGCATCGCTGGATCTGTTCGTCGAACAGCGAACAGCCAGCTTAGGACAGCGCTGAGGAGCCGGCCGTCTTCGCCACCTTCAGCCATCCGTGCGAACTACGCTATCCGGCGACGTATCCTTTTACCTTGCAAAACCTATTCCTAAAAGAGCGCGAGTGTCTTTTTAAAGATGCCTCGCACTTCCTGCGGCTCGTGTAGGGCCCCGCTCAGCGTCGGAGAACGCCATGTGATCTGCGCTCTCTGCCTGGGCCTGGAACATGCAGAGCTCGCCCTCGCGTCCGGGGGCTGCGAGCTCTCTGAAGCGCTTCCGCTGTCGACCCTGCGGGCTCGACTCGAAGCCTTCAACCCCGAAGCAGTCACTCCGCCCTCTGTGGGACCGCGCAGGAAGAAGCGCCGTTCCCTGAGACAGCCGGAACCCGTGGCCACAGCGACGCGCTCGCCGGAGAACCTCCCTCAAGCCTCGCTTTCGCCTTCCCCGCCTCCCCTCACCAACGCGCAGCTGCCGCTCACGAGCCTCACTGCCGTCGCATCTGAGGATGAGGCCGAGGGACACGCCACGAGAGACTGCTGCTCCATCCTGGCATCAGACCGCGGCTAGCTCTCTTTACGTTACAAGAGAGCTACCCCGCCCTCGCGTCGCCGTTCGCGCGTCATGCAGAGAGCTCGAGAGGTACCCGGACGGGCATCAACATACGCGAGCGACGTACTGGATGCGTGGTAAAAGCAGAAATTGTTATATAGTTCTGCTTGACCAACGAGCACGCGGCTAGCTCTCTTTACGTTTACTTTACTTTACACTTCCACTTCCTGTTCAGCTACTGTTCGGACGCTCTTGCTTACTGCTCCGCGCTTTGCTCTATCGCTTTTATATTTTTTAATCGCTCTATTGCTTCTATATTTTTAAATTTTATCTCCTTTTATCACCTAATTTTAACTTCAACAAATCAGCACAGTGTTTAAATGCTTGATTACTACAAAAAAGCAGAATTCTTTTCTCCGACCAGCCTCCCACTGAAAGCTTACATTCCGGGGAAGGGAAAACACAACTGCAAAAGGATAAGAGAAAATGCCTCTTCTGGAATCTACTTGCTGCACTAACTGCCAGAGACTTTCACAAAGGATTGCAGTTCTTGAAACAAAGTTATTTCTGGGACCACCAAAACAGACGGAACACACAACAGAGCTTCGTCATGGACGCCCTCAGCATACAGCCGGTGAGTCCCATGAATCTAGTGCTCCAATAGACCAATTTTCAGCCGACGTCACAGTTACGTCACGGCGCTAGCTGGTGGCAGAACAAAGGGAAAACTGGAGGCGGCAAATACAAACCAGCACAGATTCGGCTACAAAATAAGGATCTTAAATTATTCTTCTTATTATTAAATGTCATCTTGTTGTGTTGTTGGGTGCAAGAATCAATGAAAAATTAATATGCTTTATCTGCAATTTTTTATTTCTAGAAATATACGCCTCATAAAAATTGCACCGTAATGTCCCTCTTTACATTGTCGTCTTCTCGGCGCTGGCTAGGCAGAACTGCAGATCGTACCACACAAGTCTTGTACATGACCATTCAGCACATAGTTATAGGCATCTAAAGATTTACATGCCCTCCGTTTCTCTATCAGGTAGGTGTAGAAGTCAGGCCACTCAACCGGAGGTAACGTTAACGTTAATCCTGTCAGATCCTCAATGAGTGTACGGGTCGGCCAATCTGGTTCCGTCCGATTAAAATTAACTTTTGCAAATAACAATCGTGGTCCTGGACAGTGAGTGACCTTGCACATTAAGATAAAATCGGATTTTCTCCAGTCATTGTTAAAAACAAGCTAACAAAACTTGCAGACTTTACGTTAGTGAAGCAGCCAGAGGGATCGTTCTGCCACCACTTAAGCTCCGCCCACATAAAAACGTCACCATGTTTACCAACTGAAAATTGGTCTATACAGGGCATACTGAGTGTCGAGAAACAAGCCGATCGACTTACAAATCGATGGCACAAACAGGGAGCGAGACCCAAAGGCACTCGAGACATCAGATTGTCACCAGCATCACATATTGCTGCAGTAGCATCCTCTACCCCAGATACGGCTCTGACAAGGATTGCAAACACTGGTCTACTACCACCGCCTATACATCTTGAGAACAGATTTGAAGTATTAATGAATGAGGAATCCCTGAATGTGATGAATGTGATCGAACACAGACTGAATCAGCCAGTTACCAACACTGCTAACTGGCGCTCAAGGTCGAGCAGAGAGCGGCACTCAGCTCAGAGCGCAGCCGAGCACAGGACTCTGATAGTGGGTGACCCCATAATCAGAAACATTATTAGCAGGGATACAACTACGTGCTGCCTTCCACAAGCAACGACTTCTGATGTAAATAGGGAACTTCAGAACATTCTGATGAAACATAAGACTGCAAATCGACTCATCATTCATGTGGGGGAAAATGATATTCATAAAGAGCAGTCAGAACTCCTTAAGAAGGATTTCAATGAACTTTTTGCAACACTTAAAAGACTGAAAGTTCAGCCATTCATCAGTGGACCACTCCCAGCAAGAGGAACAAACAGGTTTTCACGGTTGCTTGGGCTCAACACATGGCTGCAAAAAACCTGCAATATAAAAGGAGTGAACTTCATTGACAACTTCAATCTTTTCTGGAGTCAGAGGCAACTTTTTCAACAGGATGGGCTCCAACCAAACAAACTTGGTTCAAGAGTGCTAAAGGACAACATCTACTTCTCTCTCAATCATCCTTCTGCAGTGTGTGCCAATCCACTCAACCTGAATGCCACACACACACCTGGACACAGTATGAATGACCACAGGACTTCACTTCAGCACCTGAATGGACATGCGGTTGACATATCACACAAGGACAACGATAACACCATGCAGCCACAACAACTTCTGCTCACGGACACAATCTCAGCAGAGCCCCGCCCACAGAGCTCTCCACAGACAGACCGGGACATATCAGAACTGCTCCAAGATTCAGCTCTCAAGGACACTTTTCTAAATGAGAACACTAGTGTGCTATTTATGAAGGCCATATCTTTAAAACCAAGCATATCTGCTGACTCTGTTGATTTTCTCCTTGGTTCTTTTAACTCAAAAGTTAAAAGTGTAATTGATGATATTGCTTCTGTGAAAGTCAGGAAGAATAGTGGTAGACAAAAAGCACCTTGGAGAAACTCAACAGCTGTGCAAAATATGAAAAGACAATGCAGAAGAGCAGAGCGCATGTGGCGGAAGACAAAACTTGTAGTCCATTATAACATCTACAAAGACAGCATCCATGCTTTTAATATTGAAATAGGCAAAGCTAGACAGACCTTCTTCTCGAATATTATAAACAGAAACTTAAACAACACACGCACACTTTTTGCTACTATAGAGAGACTGACAAACCCCCCAAGCCAGATTCCCAGTGAAATGCTCTCAGACAGCAAGTGCAGTGAGTTTGCTTCTTTCTTCTCTGAGAAAATCAATAATATCAGAAAGGTGATCAGCTCATCCTTGAGTTGCGCTGGGGTCAGACAGATCAGACCACAACCTGAGAAAGTAGTTACTTTGTCTGTTTTCGAAGAAATTGAAGGCACAATTTTGGAAGAAACCGTACAGCACCTTAAAACATCAACCTGCGCCCTTGACGCACTTCCCACATCTTTTTTCAAAAGTGTGTTAAACTGCTTAGAAGCAGATCTCCTAGAAGTGGTAAATGCCTCACTTCTCTCTGGTAGTTTTCCA